TGATTATATCTTTTAGTAATACACAGTGGCAAATTCCAACACTTGAACATTTTTTTGTGAATATCTAAGGCATTGCCGAACAATTTATAATAATGCGGTAATTAATGAGTTCACGATAAGTTCTAAGTATCATGCCTTTGCATTTGTTTAATATATTTTTTTATTCGGAAAAACAATCAGTTACACAATTTTCTTAGTCTAAATAGAATTGCCTGACGTTTCGACTAGGTTGCACTGGCCGTGGTCACAGACGAATCCTCTATAATCATAATATGTTTTGCAATACGATAGTTCTGAGGTTGGTAAAGTTGGAATCCGTGTGGTGACGGATTAAGAATACGGATTGTCACCACCCCCATTCATCCCGTGGGTGTCGTAAGAGCCGAGCAAACAACGCAGGACAACAACACTGCCAACAACTCTGACCATAACAGGACAAAACCTGTTAAGGTACTAAGGTTATACAAGTTATACCGGTCAATAAAATAAACAAGACATTCAAAACTTTTAACTCGATTATCGGCGATATCTAATATTTACAAATAGTCAAGTATTAGTACGTATAGTATATATTGTTTTTCTTTAAAAATTGAACATTTTAACACATTTACAGGTATGACACGTGTCTTTGGATCACATGGATCTATTTCAATGTTGTCCAGAAAAGATTATCTACCTAAGACTTAAATGTATGATACTCCTATGCTTGTCTTTATAAAAATAATTTAGTACTATTTATTCAAAAACAAAAGGTTGGTTTGAAGGTTCGAATTTAGTAAAAAATATAATATACGAGTAAATAATATATTCCCAACGTGGCCGGTTGACGACAATTTGATGCCCCTATTCCTGAGTTGGACCAGAATGAATGTAATAAACAGAAATTAGAAACAATTATTTTCTCAGCTTCGAGGGAGTTTCATTTTTACCGATTTTTGGACGAATTTTGATCTCTGGACTAGCTCCTTAAGCTAGTACTTAAGCTGCTTAGCTGCCATTTATTTCTTTTAAGCTCACGTCATACAGCCAAATATTTGTTCAAATGATAGATTACAATATAAGAACGAGTAACATTTTTGAGTGAGGTCATACTGTAATGACGCATTTTACATATGAATATATGTGCCTTGGCTCAAGAGAGCCAAGATCCCTTTAAAATGAAAAGCCTTTACATGATATAATAACAAGTTATAATATATAGTAACTTGCTAAGAAAATTTGACCTACATTGCACACGCAAACAAAAGATAGGTAAGTGAAGTGACACATCATGGCAATGCGTCACTGGAATCACAAAACGCACTTCCAATATTACAGAGTAAATACACCTGTTTTAATTGTCACAATATACTAAAGTATTATTAGTTCAATACAGTAAAATTACTAACTTAAAGTATTACAGTTGTTTCTTAGTTACCGACCTGTAAAAAAAGACCATTTTATCTGGTTACATGCTTACATAATTACTGTATTCGTTAATTTATCGTCCGGTCTTCTGTATTTTCTCCATTACTTGGTCAGTTCTTCCACTGGGCCTGGGCACTTTTTTCTTTTTTAGCCATGTCACCAACCAATCGTATTTTGGTTCCTATCTTAACTTTAAATAAATTCTACTTTTCCATTATTTAATTTAACCTTATTTGTTTAAATTTTCTTTAATTCACAATTTGTATTTACAATTTTAATGTATTTTTAATTGTATGTGTATTCGTAATCTTTCTACAAGTACAAAGGGTGATGATGAGGCTAGAACATGACCATTTTCTTATATTTTTTTTGGACTTGAAGGATCCCCGCATGTTTTTAAATTAGTTGAAGGAGGAATATATTTTCTATACCCATTTTTTTAAGCTTTGCTATTCAATTTATGCAGAACAAGGACCGATGTGGCGGGACTGATATTTTATTTTATTTCACTATTTTTTTTTTATTTACTGATATTTTATTTTATTTTTTCATTTTTAATATACGTACTTTATTTATTTTTACACTACAGCAATTCCCACAATATCTCACTACAGTTAAAATATTGTATCCTACTTATCAACTCAGAACAGTTCGTTAGCCAAAATTTGATCATAATATTTTCCACTAAGCACTTAAACAACTTCTTACTTAATAAGTTGGATAATGTATGTTCATCGGGTGTAAACTAAAAATTGTAATAAATCTTCACGTGTATGTAGAGATGTTATGATTCATCAAAAGTGCCAAAACTCCTGAAAAGCCATAACCGAGAGAGGGAACTTTGAAAACTGCAATACATGGAACAGAATTCTCAACTTTATAGCTGCGTTGTGGTAAGCGAGAAACTTTGTACTTTTATACTTAATGCAATAGTGAAATTGGTGTATGAATTAGACTTGATAAATAGGTGTAAAAGTTATCGAATTGCTCTCAGGTCTAATACGTAAGTTTTAGCTCCTTCGGGATTTTTCGTTTGTACATCATTGAATTAATAGTAAATGCCTGCGACGGCTTTATGTATGTGTATGTGTTTTACTGAAGAAAGTGAAACCAAATGTTCTTAACAATTTCGATTTTTTTTGTCGATAAAACAACAACCCAAAATATTATTTCCTCTGAAAAAGATTTTAATGAGAAATTTTTAACCCATTTTTTTAAATATTTTGTACAATTTTTTTTTCATATGGACCTTGTTCACTGCTAAATCCATACTTATAATTATAAATGCGAAAGTGAGTTTGTTTGTTTGTCTGTTTGTTATGCTCTCACGCCTAAATAGTGATTTATAATATATAATATGATAATTTAATTTTTAATTATAATAACCGATTTTAAAAGTTCTTTTATAAAAAATTATAATAAAAATATGTTTAAACGAGCAATTCTTGTATATAGAATCTGAATCTCGGCAACGGCTCTAACTATTTTCATGAAATTTACTATGCAAGTGGTTTCGGGAGCGATTAATCGATCTAGCTAGGTTTCATTTTTAGAAAATTTACCAAAAAAATAAATACCGAGCAAATCTCGGTCGGCCAGGTACTAATAGAAATTGGATTAAACTTTAAAAGCGGTAAATAAATTATTTAGTATACAGGGGGTTCCGGGAACGATTGATTTGCATCCAGGTGCCCCCCCCCCAAGATTTGGGAAGAAGAGGATTAGGCCGTCGGTTCCCTTATCACTCAGTAAAAAGAAGGAATTCTTAACAACGACTTGTGAAGTCGTGGCACCACTGCGGTCGAGACGGCTTGTGTGTGCCGAAACAGTAATTCTTCTGCAACATGTACAGGAAACCGGTGTTAAGTTAAATTATTTCGTTACTTTTCACGGAGTGAGTTAAGTTACTAGAGACCCAAACACCCCTCCCGTAATTCCATGTGGGAAACTTTAAGGATGACAACGCACTTGTGTCTTAAGTTGCAGGTCCATGGGCAGCGTGATGGGGACCATCAAATAACCCGTCTGCTTATCATCATCGTCACAGCTTTTAATTGTCCACTGCTAGATGTAGGCCTCTCCTTAGAGGTTATCTTGTTTAAAGTTTTCCTTCTCTATTTGCAGTGCTCTTGTCCTGCAGAGTTTTCTCCTTTAGTCGGCTCTTATGACAGCCATGGGGTGAATAGGGTCGGTGACTCTGTATTCTTAATCCGTCACCACAAGACACGACACGTCTGCTCAATTTGCCCCCTACAAAAAGGTACCACTGCAGGTGAGTTCTGAGATTTTGATATTATTTTTGTAAGGTTCTGTTAAGGTTATCTGTTTGAGTGGGTCGTCCAATTGATTATTTAAGCCTAATCAATATCTAAGCTTATTGTTGTGGATTGCCATTTTATTGTGGACATAAATAACGAGGCCAAAAAGACAATTTACATTTGAAAATATCTTTCTTGTTCGCTAGTTATTTATAACGTCCTCTAATAAAGAGGAAAACTAGACTACAATACCTAAACATAGGCTCACATGTGAATTTTGAGTCATTGTCTCTCAGATTGAGAGGTTATGTCGTCTAGTTTATAAATAGGTTTGGCTTCGATCGACCATAGTATAGTATGAATGCAAAATGGATAACGTGTTTGTTATACGAGTATGCCTGATACTAGACAAACTGTGATTTTTAGTAGTCATTAGTCTAAGTTGATTTAGTTTAGTTGTTTTAACTTTTGCCTTCCATCAAAGATAATTGTGTATTTTTACGATCACGTTATAGGTTTTAAGTGCCTTTGACTTATCTGGCATTTCTATACTCTACCCTATAAATGTTCTATACCCACATTGCTATAAGTATACAAGTAAAGGACAGCAGTACTCGATCCGTGGAGGTCAATATCTTAAACTTCTTGATAATCGTTAAGTAAATTTTGTGATAAAAATAGAGTCTACAGACAGATAATAAACTCAATAAAGCACATGGTCTATACCAAATAAAACACAACACATTATTATTAAGCATTATCGTCATACTAAACTAACAGTTCCCACAATAACATTATTAGGTCTACAATATCATTATCCAAAAACTCATCAAAGTATTCTTTGTGTCGTCTGATGCAGGATACAATTTTTGTAAGCTAATGATGACACATGATGTATCATGTGTTCTCATAAATTGTTGGGAAGAAATAGTTTAACAGGTTAAGACAACTATCCCACGTCGTAATAAAACATATTTGTACATAATACCAAACAACGAAATGCTATATGCAGATTGAAGATCGCGACCGCAATGGCTTTATGATTTCTTCCGATAAGAACCGAACCTCTACTATGGACTGAGCGATCATTGTATAAAACAAAATAACCTTATCTTTCAAGTGTGCATTGTCTTAAAGGAATTTTATGATCACGATTGATATGAATAATGTGCGACATTTACTAATATCAAGTTGTAATAACCTTAAATATTAAAACGATATCACGACCTACTTATCTGTAAGATCTAATGCTGCGAAAGTCACAAATGACACAGATGTACTCCAACCCTAAATATGACATGCGCTGTAATACAAAAACTTAGAGCTACCACTTACTTCGGTTTGCTGTACGGCGATGAGGGCTGCTTGTGATTCTTGTTGGGCAGCGTGTGTCTGTTCGCGTTTGTATCAAGGCCGCCGCCCGGCGAAATCTTGCCGGCGAGTGCGTTCAATGTGTGCAACATGGCGGGCGGCGGCCGCTTAGTTCCAAGCGGCCTGGTCACGGTGATGACTCGACCACGTTTGTCGAGACGAAGGTGCTTGATGGCGGCCACGGTGCCTTATCTCCTGATAAGAGGCGCGGGGGCATACACGCCCCCCGCCTCATCGCCACCTGACACTGTCACACACACACTCTCACGCGCAACGTAATGTTTGCCCGTCTAAACACCGATACGGGTCAGCGTCCTGTCCGCTTTATACATGATTTCGGCATTTTTTCATAACTTTTAATTGTATTTTTTGCACTGGTTATTTATTCGTATCACTTTTTAAACAGTCTTTGATTTCACTTATTTATCTGTTGGATTTAAATTTATTGTAATGGCTGTTGCGATGCTTTGTACTTTTGAGTAAAAGTAGATTATCGTTTGCTAAACGGTTAATAAATCTATAAATAAGCTAACAATAAGGAACAAACAAAAAAGAACGCTATGGGTAAAACTATTTTTTCAACTTCTTTATAAACTCCACTCCAACTGACTTTGTAGTATTATATTCATAAGAGATTTGGACGTATTAAGCCCTGCTTCATAAATCAGATTTTCTGTCAACAATATCTACAGTCTAGGTGGTTCGAGGATTACGGAAAAAATATGGTTGTTAAGGTGTCAGATTTACAAACGCCTGAACAAAAACGTATAGCAAGAAAAAATATATCCGCGTGTCGCAATGAAATATGTGACCGCAGGCGGTTTGAGAAAAGTCCTATTCCATTATTTTATATGATAAATTCATACAATAAAAATGTTGCAGCTTAAGCTCCTCGCTTGTGCCTGTTATATTCTTTTGTGCTTTATATTGCTGTAGAGGTTTTACAATTTATCATTACACACAGCTACCATATTTTTATACTCAGTGTCACTCAGGTTGATGTAAAAAGTTCTTACATTATCATCATCAATCATTAACAGCCTATAAAAGTCCTCTACTGGACATAGATCTCTCTTTGGAAAGGTTTTGGTTGCTTTTTTTTTTTTTGTAATTCTAACGTACCTACCCAAATATGTTCAGATTTGTAGACACAATTTATGGTTAAATAAGGAACACACACATATTTACTTAAACTTTGAAAACACTTCTCTTGTTTTAATGACTATCCTGTAAAATAAACTAATATAACGTCCCCCGATCCAGGATCAGATCGAGAACAGATAGATATTTTATCTCTCTGTCTGGATCTGGTGCAAACTGAGCTCAGCAGTGGTCAGCTAGACTCTATTTTGATGAGTCAAGTAGCAGTTGAGACATATTGAAAAGTTTTTAATATACATATCATTATTGTCTGTCCTATAGTAATGTCTATATAAACAAATCCCATGAGAGATCATAAGCTCTTTAATCTCTAAAATACAAACGTGTTACTCAATGCTGTAACATGTCGATTCGAACGAGTCCCTCGGGATAGCCGCGCCGATTATCCGATAACGAATTGAGACACCGATATATCTACCGTGTGTCAACTAATTAACTGTTAGGATCGAGACACAGGACAACTATATCACAAATACATTATCGATTTTGACTTCGATAGCAAGTAGAATTGTTGTTGGAAGGTACATTGTAAAATGGATTTGTTTTGATCCAGCAATGCGCTATTGCGCATTGCTGGATCAAAACAAATCAAGGTATGTTAGATGGGTATTATCTAACATACCTTGAAAATATATATTGTTTTGTGTCCGATAGTCATTTATTTTCTTATAGACTTTCAAATGAACACTTATATAGCGATTAGTTTCATTTAACTTCGTGACTCGTATAAAGTGTGGTGATTTCTGGTGGAATGCGATATTCTGTAGTGGTAGAAACTTATCCAGATAGCTGTTATAATTGCTCTAGCAGTCTGCACTGGTATTATTTGAAATGTGCGTTAAAACTAACTTCTTTAACGGATAAAAATAGAACTGGCTGACAACAATACATAATATTACTGGATACGCTTCAACTATTTTCGTCCGTTTTAAAAATGTCACGAACATAATTATAGACCTTGACCTAACTACATAACTCTCAAAGCACTTACTCTAATGCTTAATAATGTCCTAAACCTCAAATGAGGTTCCAGAGGGCTGAAGCTTGACCACTCCCAAAATACAATCAGTATAAACTACGTTGCCCAGTATAAATATATAATTACGTCATTTATAAGCGTCGGGTGTAAGCACGAGCTGCCGTTTGCGGAAAAACTTCGGTATACGATCAACGGACGTGAGTAATAAAATTAACTGAAACACAAATTGGTACCATGGTACATCCAATTTGGGGAATGGTGCCAATCTGTCTAAATTAAACTTGATTACAATGCGTTGGTGGTATTATGAAAGGGTACTTTTTCAAGCAAGAAGTGTGATGTATATTGTGTTAGAATGTCTGAATATTTTGAACATTCTACTTTATTAACTACAAAGTTACTTAAAGTTCTTCTAACTTATTCTGCTAAATCCAATTTGTCGTATTGGAAAAGAAATACTACAAGAGTGTAATTTTAACTGAGAGTGTGTTTTAATGAGTAATAAGCCATTCTAGAAATTACATGAATAAATATTTATAATTGATAATTAATTTATTAAGCGTTTGCCTAGAATGTGGTACACGACTATCAAAGCGAAACCTATTAACTGTAGCTTCTAATATAATAAGACCAGGGAATTCTAGAAAAGGTAAAGCACGAAGCAGCTTACAGATTGCGGCGATTGGATGCCAATAGAGATGTCACCATGTATACTAGAGAAAAAACTTGGTCTAACAGGTCTCTATTTCTCTTAGATCCGTGACTAACTTTATTAAGAATTGGTATTGCTTATAAATTAAGCCCCGGTGGGTTCGTAATAATAATATAGCTTTTCAGTTTTGAGAGAGATTTTCACTAATTAAATTTCGTTTGTCTAAATGTATGTACCAGTTCTAAAATTTGCGTTTTGAATTCTAAATACGAGTATATGTATAAGCACCTGAACGATAACAATGTGTGACAAAAACTATTACACACTATTAATTTTTTTGCGCTTTTTTGTATAGTTTCAATTTGAAACGGTTGTAACACCGTCGTATTTTAGTTTCTTTCAAATGTTTATATCATTAATCGATGTTTTACTATGAAATGTCAAAGGTTGGAAATCATATTGGAAACCTCAATTTCTATAATGGGATCCTAGAAGAAAGTTAATCGACATATATTACTATACGTGTGGGTCAACTTCGACCCTAAATTCGTGGAGTAAACACGATCCAAGCACGCTTTATGGACACTTACTGTACGAGACACAATAACAGCTTATAAATACAATCCTAAATCTTTTTTTACGTTTATAGGTATTTACGTTTACGAACTGACACTACGAGACACTCGTATGTACGTAAATTACACTGTATTGGTTATGTTACTGATGTTTTTGGTCTTTGGTCTTTCGAAAATTTGGTGTTCTTGGCCAATGGTCTTTCGAAAATTTCTTCCCTAGTGGCAAATAGTATAAGTCTGAATAAAATATTTAATAAAATAAAATATAAATAATATAAAATATTAGCTTAAAAAAAAACTATATTTCAAATTATATTAGATATTTTCGTATTTCATCATTTTACTTTCACTATCAAAATTTCAACACTGCTAACAAGAAACTCACGTATTAAAATATCCATTACAATATCTCATCAAAACAAAAGTGATCAATACCGAAATAGAATGAAGAAGAAGAAGAGGTCTCTTCTTTAAGTTCTTTGGGCTTTAAGTGATCTTTTTTCCTAAGTTTTCAGTTGAAATGTACCTTCTTTCTGTTCTGTGTAATCGCCATAGTGTAGACACTATGAAGATTGAACAATTCGTAATGCCAATACGAAATAAAATATTCATTCGAGACTGTTATTTTCTATAGTGGCAACAGTTTTGACAACGCCCATCTTTAATTTTGTGCCGCTTTTGGACGTGATATTAATTTGATTATCATAATTTGACTCTGTAGTACTAACCGCTGGGTGAAGAGCCAAAACTCTTCATGTTCTTGTTTCGGTGCCAAATATGTATCTGTTCTCTCGTATTCATTTACAAGTTCTATTTCTTGGAAGCACTTTAACGTCTTGCCGAATAGTTTTTCTTAAAACAACTCCTGTTTGTGTGATCCGTGCCAAATTGATAGTTTTAGCTTTTATGGATGCTTTTGTACTTAATTTGAGGTTTATTTTATTTTTTGTCTAAAACAGATATGGTATTTTAAGTGCAAACGGTGTTAAATATTGTAAAATTATAATAAAAGATTCGTGTGGTGACGGATTAAGAATAAAGAGTGTCACCATCCCTATTGATCCCGTGGGTGCCGTACGAGTTGACTAAGGAAGCAAACAACGCAAGAGCACAGCACTACAAAGAGAACGAAAACTTGACATAAAATTTAAACCAACCAGGACTGGCGAGGGTGGTAAAGTAGGCCAAAACTTCCTTTCTAAGGAGTGGACTATGTCCAGCAATGGACTATTACAGGCTGTTGATGATTTGTTGTGATGGTGTTAAAATATCGAAACAAGTGAAAATCTTTTGCTCTTGTTACGATGTGTAACTACTTTCTTTAATTGGGTGTGAAAAGGGACGCAACTATGTAACAAAAGCTGACCAATGAGCGAGCGAGTTGGCCATCAATTAGTAGTTGAAATGTCAGATATTACATAATGTACTGAAAGACTCGCTGGTGTTTTTATGTATGTGCATTTTTAATATCAATTTAACACAGTACAAAATAAAGTACTCGTACCTTTATTTGCTTACTGTTGTTCATATTGTAAATCGGCCTAAACCCACTGTAACTGTAACTAAACCCACTAAAGTTCTCAAAGCCGTGAATGTCGCGAATAATGAACTGAAACTTTATGTTTTAGTATTAAGTATATTTTGCTCGCGGTTTCGCTCGTATTAGAAAGTTATTAAGTAGTAGTAAATTATAGTTAAGTATTTTTGTCTTTCTTGTGTGATTCA